ATACACACCTAAAGCCCCACCATCTTTTCCAAGAACAACACCAATGCGGATAAGTGCCACTCTTACATCCTTGTTTGCTTTCAGCGCGGTTCCTTCCCATTCTCTGCAGACCTAAGCACAGAAGTACATAATTCATCTAAGCAGCAAAATACTTTGCACATAGAATAAGATAGGCATCTACCACCTCTAAGTACATACAGTCTTTCAGGGTCACATTCGTGAACCAAGACCGCATAAAAGATTCAGACTTTACATGGAAATCTGTTCCAGGACATTTACCTCTGAAAGATAATCATTCCCTGATGGACTCTTTTCATCGAATACTCCTGTCTCACTAGTACCTGACAGTTTAAAGCACGTTAGGATTCTTGTTGGCAAGATCAGAGTCACGAGTACAAAAATTTAGTGGCTCTGCATAAGATTGTAACAGACCATAGTAACCAACAGCAGTGGCGCTAACTAGAACGGTAGGTCGAGCCTCCACTGGTGATTTATTTATCAGCTCAACAACCTTCATGAAGTTCGAAAGACGAAACCTTTTTAATCACAAAAACTACTCAATATGTGAAGCTTAGACACCTACGATGAAATCATAAAAGAATGGTAGTTACTAACTTTAGAGGTGACACGGACTCGGCTGTCCTTAATCTCTTTCTTGATCTGCAAAGCAAGCAAAGGCAAGGCATCCATGGAGAAGAAAATTAGAAGCATAAAAATTTAGAGGAACGTGAAAGAAGAAACTGACCTCGGGAGACCACCTTGTACTAATAGGCAGTCCTGCCAAGTTCACAACAGCAGTTGAGCCTTTTACGCAGTTTATCCACTCCGGTTCTTCAGCAATCACGATTCCAGGGAAATCCTTGGCTGAAAAAAAGGATCATCAAGACGTAAATGAATCAGATCACAGAATAAACAAGATAAATAATAAACCACATACAAACTGTATTTATGATCCTAGTAAAATGGAAGCAGAATAGTCATTACCTTCTTACCAGGAAATATTTGCTCAGCTTTGGGTTTAGAACGTGTTAAGACCCTGATAGAGTGATTCTCTGCATAATGGATAAAGAAGAAAACCCATTAGAGAAACTCGTGTCTAAGACTTGAAATTATCAGTACAACTCTCATTTGCATCAAATCGAATGTATGTTAAAACATCATCACTATTCAC